ACACAAACCAACAAACACACAAACCAACAAACACACGCCGGTGAAAACATAACCTCCTGCCAACCCCTTAGCGGAGGTAATGACACATATAGTGGACATGCATGCGCACACATAAACCTCTACAAGATATTACGCCAAAACATAAGGCGAGTTGCAACAATATACCTATTTTCATATCAGTCTACTCGGTAATCTGTTTGACTACATTTTAAATGAATAATTTAATAATAATACTGACTTTCTGGGAGATAAATCATGAGCCGGCGCACGCAGAGATTGAACAGAGAAACATGAAAAATATACACAATCAAGAGCGTATAAAGAAGGAGTAATATAAGTAATATATATAATATAAGTAATAATATAAGTAATATATATAATATAAGTAATATAAGTAATAATATAAGTAATATATATAATATAAGTAATAATATAAGCTCCTTCTTTATACGCTCTTGACACAATATAGCTAATAACTAAACCCCATTTACACTCTACGTTTATCACTGCACCTTCCACCCCCATCATTATCACATATCAAAATTCTTTGCCCTCTTCCTGATATTCCTTTTGCTTCCTTTTCCACATTCTCTACCTTCACCACCTCCTCCTACTACTACTACTCCTCTTCTACCTCCTCCATGTACTATCACGCCGCCTTCAATCAAACTTCTCAAACTAGTTTTGTCATTGTGGTCGGCACGTTATATATCTAATTTCGGGGAACTCGTGACAGATTATGGGCATGCGTGCTTATACCTTATTATGAGATGTCTTGCCGATACAACAGGAAGGAAACCCCAGGGCTCTCTGCTATTCATTATGTGAGTCACTAATTGGTCTAGACTTGGTACAGTCTGGTAATAGACTTGTTTTATATCAGTCTATTCGTAAACTAGTCCTCCTCACTTTAAATAATTATTTTGTCTGGTAGATAACAGGCCGATGCGCACACAGAATTTATAAAGAAATGGGAAATTAAATACAATATAGCCATAAACGTAATCTCTTTTAATCCCTGCGTCTATCCTTCCACATCTGACCATGTTCCTGTCCTATATAATATCCCCTTCCACTTCCACCATATCCACGTGTGCCTTCTCTCTCTCTTCTCTCTTTTCTCTATTCCCTCTTCTCTTCCCCCGCCTCTACCTCCTCCACCTCCTCCTCTTTCTCCGCTTCCTCCAACTCCTCCTTTTTCTCCATCTCCTCCCCCTCCTCCTACTCCTCCTGCTTTTCACTCCATTCGTTCTCCGTTCTGAAGCGACGTGCTTATTTCAAATCTCCGTTCGCAAGACATGCTATTGTGTTGAAATTACACATAGAAAAAGACAAGCAATACTCTTGTGTAAACTGATAATTAATTGTTAAAGATAATAAAAAAAAGATTACATGATTAAAAATTATTAAATGATTGAAGAGGTGGATTGGACGAGGGAGTGGGAAGCGGAGAGCTTGTGAGAAGCGGAAGCGGAGAGATGGTGGAAGTGGATGGAAAACGAAAAAGGTGGAAGAAGTGGAGAAGGTCTAGGTGAATGGAAAGAGCTAGAATGACGAGGGAAATGGCGGCGGTGGGGATTTAATCACGATTTCACTTCGATAATTATAACACACACAGTCTCCCCAATTTTCTCTGTAATGTAGGCTATTTGTTGTGTTGTACCATGCCTAGTATTACATATTATGTCGAAGAAATATTATTTCTCCGATATTGTATAGTGTATCCGGCTGCTATCGACGCCGCATATCTTATATATATATATATATCTTATATATATATATATTGCCATCGCTTCAGTTTCGAGAGAGGATGTTACACATGCGTTTACTACGTGCAAATATACAGGTTCGAACATTCCACTCGAAAATAACTTTCGGCGTTGATTCGTGTCGGCAGATGGCGCTACAAGATCGTAACATGTCTAGTAACAGGCGGTTGGGCACTACGACAACCACCTTAAAGTGGTGTAAACATAATTAAGTTACTTGTTTACACAAGTTAGTGTGTAAACACAAGTACCTTACTGCGCCGGTGTAGCTAACCTGTATAATACAGTCGTTATGTTCCGCACGGCTACACTAACGCCTGTAAGCGAGCGCCGCGCCAGCGGTTCGCAAGCCTCGTTATCGATCGACCGAAAACGGTGTTTGACTTATGGCGGGGAATCGGATTAGCGGCGAGCAATCGAGCGTACAGAAGTAAATACGGCAAAACTTCGCCCCAGGCGAATACCTGATGAATGGAAACAATCTAGTTAATGGCTTTGGCAGAAGCGTGCACTAATTGCAGTTATATATTCAACTTGAATAACTTGAGAAATGACGTCAGGCAAAAGCCTGCTCGCTGATTGGACGACCTTATCACAGTTGCTGTGACCTGCTCACTCATTGGCCGGTCTGCTCGTTTCTTTTTCCCAGTCGACATATCCAGTCGAAGAATTTAGCGCCTTCTGATTGGTTCATCCTGCCTCCTGATTGGTTCAAAAACAGCGCGTGTTTGCTTATTTAGCATATGTCATGTAANTGACGAACCCCAGGCACGGTCTTATGTTGTCACCACACCAAATGGCACCCAGCTTAGGAGGAATAGAGTACATTTGAAAGACATCCCGCAGATGCCTTTCCTGGCAGAACCAAATAAAACAGAGAGTACAGAACGAAGGGGAGCAAGACAAGGTGCCAGATCACGCAGCGGGTAATGAAACAGAAGTACAGAAGAAACAGCGGAGTGATATGAGAAATAAAGCACTTGAAATATGGCTACCAAATCATAATCAGCGTTCAGAGTTTACCGGTGATGAGATACCACAACAGCGCGTATACATCCACTACCCCTGTGCGTGCGTCCATAGAGAGCATCATATAGCATACACTACAGACAGTCTTCACTCGAGCTCGACATAACAGTTTATCAAATAAATAAATCCAAATTTACATTAACATAACTTTTATTGCCGGTGCACTTAAAATGGAAGTGAGTGAGGTTGCAAGATTTGAAGAAGTAGAGGTAAATAGTACGATATAGCGCGTCGCTTGTACTTGTAGGTTATAAACTATCTATGCATACTCATGACATTGGCCGACATTACTCTCTGTGGCGTGTCACTGTATGTACATAATCTTTAGTCTCTACGCTCTTCCTGTCTTTATTTACTTGCTTGTTTACATATTTACATATTTGTTTCCAACCAATTAATTGAATATTAGTTAGTCTTTCTGAGTCACAAATAACGTTACATACAAAAATAAACGTTATCGTCATGTTCAGATTCTTATCTATATGCAACATTAACTCGACAATTCTAACATTATTTACATTGCTAATTACAGGAGTGTGATTGGTATGATAGAATGACGAAAATATTAGATGATCAACCGCATCCAACTGAAGTAATTGGTGTAGTGGTAGGCATCACCTTTGGATAGCATTATTAATTTTTCCTGTCTGTAACGTCGGGAAGAAATTCAATTTTGTCCTAATCTAAAAATAAACATGTATGTACAAAATAAAGCCTGCATCCCAGAATTAACATATATAAATTATTAGTTTACAAGACTTAACTAAGACAATTAACATGACCTTCAGGAATTGACAGAAGAAATGATGGCAGAGGTAGTGGAGACACTAATTAGAGATCCACTATTTCCTGGGTGCGACAAGCAACTATTGGCCAAAACAAGCTGCGAAAGTAATTTTATTCGTCAGGATTTTTATAATAGTTAATGAAATAACAATTATACTATCACAATTGCTGCCTTTTCATATCACTAATAATTTGTTTATATAGTTTTCAGGTTTACATTCCTCTTCCATTTACATGCAGGTCTGCTGAACGAAATGGCATGGATAAATGCTTGTCTCCAAGGCAGAAAATGCCTTGTCAGCAAATCCATGGAGAATGTGTGGGAATTATACCACAAGCATTTGATTGAAAACATCAGAGCAACTAAATTACCGAGCCAGCTTTTTGCAACATTTTCACGAAGAGCTATGCAAAGACTAGTTGCATCCAACCAAGAGGTTATTTTAAAAATTGTTATCGTACAATGTGGTATAGACATGCAATGTTTTCAAAGTCGGTCAGTTCTGTTTAGAAATGTCTTATTATCTAACATACAAATACTAGTTATTAAACTTGCAGGTGCGGCGGACCCCAACATCCTCCAGGCCACTAGCTATCACTGAGGAGGAAGGCGAGATTGTTGCCTACATAGCTGGTTTTGTTCTACACCGTTTGAAACAAAAAGCTTTTCGTTTGAGCGACAGCAAGGAAAAGACAATCAAACTTGATGTAATTAACAAGTTGATAAGAGACGAAGCTGTGGCAATAACCTCAAGGCTAATTTTAGCCAAGCAACGTGGTGGCCTTCTGTCTGCTGTGCCACAACTTACCCCTCTTTTCATGAAATGTGAAATCATGATAAGGAATAACACATCAGATGATTTTGTCCAACATGTAGATGTTCAATCGATGGTGGATCAGGCATGTTCTGATGAGGCTATGACAGCGATTTTTTTTTCAGTAGCATGTAAATCTATAGCCGACTATGATGCCCAGGAAGTTATATATGTGGAAATTGTAGCAACATACATTATAACACGGGTCAATGGGTTTTGTCGCCAAACCATGGAGCGATACAGAATGAGACAAAATGTCAAAAGGAGAAGTAATTCATTGCGCAAGTCTCTCGAAGTATCATCTGGAAGTGTGTCACATCCTTTTTAATCACTAGGTGTGGCTCGAGATCCCTTGCAACATTCTGAGTGGATGACCATTTTAGTGTCGTGTAATCTTTGGCATTTTCGCCTCAGAGATTGACACTGGAACATGAGCTCGCTTGCCACTCACATTACCCCGTGGCCTCAATTCCTGCCGCAGTTGTCCTTGAATGTGTAGGCTTCGTTCTTGGGTT